GGTGACGACCGCACAGAGTAGCATTATAACAGAACTAAATGTATCTCGTATGATAAAACAGCGCTGCTTTACCCCACATACGCACGACCGGAAGCAGCGGAAGTGGTCGACTGTGGCATAATAAAAGCTCCGCTGCTTTCGAACCGTGTGTCGCGCTCGTTCAGCGGCCTCGTTTCGCTTCGACGGCTTTCAGCCTCACCCTGCTTCATTCTACTACGTTAATAAATCATTAGCTCATCCATGAACATGATTTCTGCCCGAGTCCCGTCGGATTGCATCAGCTGTGGGGATGAAGACCACAACTCCCATGATTCCACACTCAGTCACGGTGTCATCAAACTACACCTTTGTTTCTTTGTTTATTTTGAATATGCGCCCTCCAGCGGCGAAAATTACATACTGTGCCTTTAATGCACTGAACTAACATGAACAATTGAATTTTATTACTTAACATTAACAAAGGTTAATAAATGCTGTAAAAATATTTTGCTCATACATTTTTCATGTTAACTAATGAGACCTTATTGTAAAGTGTTACCCAAATATGTATGTAATACTACTACTACTACTACTACTACTAATAATAATAATAATAGTTCCTATAACAATTGTAACACTACAATAATAATTGTACATTAGTTACATTAGTTAAAATGAACTAACAATGAACAAATTTTCTACAGCATTTATTAGTCTTAATTAATGCAAATTTCTACATTTACTAATACTTTTTTTTAATAAAAAATGTGATCTATTAATATTATTTAATGCACTGAACATGAACAATGAACAATTTAATTTCATTAACTAACATTAACAAAAGTTAATAAATGCTGTAAAAATATATATTGCTCATAGATTTTTAACCAATGAAACCTTAAGTTACCCAAATATATGTAATAATATGTAATTATGTATGTATGTATTTGTAGTAGTGGTAGTATAGTGAATGTTACTAACTATTAAATATAATGTTCTCTAATATCCTTTACTTTCATCACATTGGCCATTCTGACGTTGTTTAGATAGATAGATAGAGAGATAGAGAGATAGATAGACAGACAGACAGACAGACAGACAGACAGACAGATAGATAGATAGATAGATAGATAGATAGATAGATTTATACAGAGGAGCTCACATACTAAGTCAAAAGGAAAACATTCTGTGTTGTATTTGAGCTCTTTATGCTGCGTATAAGGTTACATTAAAGTTTCTCTCACTGTATTTTGTGCTGAAAAACAATTTGAATTGATCAAAGTAGACTGCCAGCGCTATTGCCTGCACACTCTGATACAGTGGTTTCCCCGAATGTTTCGAGCGGGAGAGATTATGGAGGGAAACAGGGATGATGCTAGGCTTTTAAGAAGGCCGAATACCTTGTATTTAAATGAAAACAGCTGTGCTCGAATAGCATTAAGGCCGCTTCATCCTGTCAAGATTTCTCATATCTCTGCAATTTCTTTTCCACCTCTCCAGGTTGTGAGAAGTTTAAGTTGGAAATGGTTTTGGGAATCGTCTGCAAATCTCCCTTGAGCGGATTAAACTGTGGGACTGGAAGAACTTAGCCAGACAATTTCCAACCACGGCTAAATTGCTTAGATATGAGAGTGTCAGAGGAATAAATATTATTTTAAACCTTTAAAACGCACTGCTTTTTTCCTTCTCTCTGATTCCTTTCTTCCCCTGTCCTCTTTCTGTGCCAGCTCCACGTGTTTGAAATTACTCAATTAAGCATAATGTTCATAATTGATCATTTAGTGGAAAACGCAAACATATCGTTTGCTGACGGGTTCCATATTTTGTGAGTGTGATTCGTTGTTTCTGGTGGAGTCAGGGGACAGCTGGTTGACGTTTCACACTCATCGGGAGTTGTGATCATGAAATGGGATGTTGGCCTTTTCTCACCAGTGATTTGCCTTAGTGTTTTCAAACCTGTCTAGCAGGCCAGCGTCTCACAGCCGGACCGTCTGGTTGAGTGCTGAGCTAGATGGGAAGGCTTCCCCCGGGACGAGAGGGTCATCTCAGAGGGCACACATGAAGTTAATGGAAGGTATGGTGCACATGAAATCTTTTGCACTGTCATTTTCAGTAACAGCACAGACTATTTGCTGAATCTTTGTCTTGAGCCAGATCTTATGGGAGCCTGTTTCCAATGAATACGTTTAAGGTAGTTGCAACTTTATTTCTCATAAATGAGATTCAATATCTCACAGTTAAGACTTAGATTCTCAGAATTGCAACTTTATAAAAATGTGACTTTATATCTCGCAATTTAAACTTTTAGGGTCACATGTTTCTCATAGTCATACTAACCTTCACATAAATGCAACTTTATATCCAAAATTTGTCTATACATCTCAAAATGTATATATCTCACAATATGAAAAAATTGCAATTATCTCATATCTCAAAATGTGTCTATATATATTGCAATGTGACATCTCACAACTTTGACTTTCTCATAATTGCAAATTCACTGACATGTCACTATATTTCACAATTTAAACTTTGTTTCTCATAATTGTAATTTTATATATAAAATTTACTTTTTATATATCAAATATCTTGCAACTGACTTTTTCCTCATATAATTTTGACCTTATATTTGACCAGTTGTGACTTTGTGTCACAATTGTAACTTTACATCTCAAAATGTGTCTACATATCTTGAAATGAGAATTTATATCTCACAAATGTGACTTTAAATGTTTCTCATTTCTCACAATTTTTTTTTTATAATAGAATGTACTTTATAGCTTGCATTTGTAACTTTTTTCTCAAATTTAGACTTTATATCTTTCCATTGCAGCTATATCTCACAGTTATGACTTTGTTTCTCATACAGTAATTGCAACTTTATTAGAATGTGACTTCTTACATTTGTGACTATCATAAATGCAATGTCTAAATACAACTGAAGTTACATAAAATATAACGTGATGAGATTTTGCCCTCAGCCAAAACTATTTACTCTGGTACTAATAATAGATTGAGACCAAAGACTGTCCGCGATCTTTACTCAAAACAAATTACATCTCATGTTTAACCACTATAGAGTGGTCAAAGCCAGCCACAAATTCCAGAAGATCTGGCCGAGGTGAGGCACTCTCGGTGGGTTTATGAGCGCTCACAACTCCGAAAACGTTGAAAGAGGTCCTATTATGCTTTTTCACTTTTTGAACTTTAGTCTGTGTAGTGTGTATGTTTGGGCATAAAAAAGATCTACAAAGTTACAAATCTCAAAGTCCACTCCAAAGGGAGAGATATTTAGTTTTTTTAAAAATCCCTTTTCAAGAACTACAACGAACGGCTCGTTTGGACTACAGCGTTGTTTTCCGGGTTTTGTGATGTCACAAAGCGGCCCATTAAAATATCATTAAAATAATCCCCGCCTACAGAAATTCAAATGGTTGGAGGGTGGGGAGGGGCGAGGTTGTGGTTAGAACGCTTGGTTGAGTGAGTGCATCAGACGAGATGACGAAGAAGAAGTGGTGCTGCAGAGTTAGTGCATCAGAGAAAACGAAGAAGAAGAGCTGCTGTGCTATAATTGTAATTTTATATATAAAATTTACTTTTTATATATCAAATATCTTGCAACTGACTTTTTCCTCATATAATTTTGACCTTATATTTGACCAGTTGTGACTTTGTGTCACAATTGTAACTTTACATCTCAAAATGTGTCTACATATCTTGAAATGAGAATTTATATCTCACAAATGTGACTTTAAATGTTTCTCATTTCTCACAATTTTTTTTTTATAATAGAATGTACTTTATAGCTTGCATTTGTAACTTTTTTCTCAAATTTAGACTTTATATCTTTCCATTGCAGCTATATCTCACAGTTATGACTTTGTTTCTCATACAGTAATTGCAACTTTATTAGAATGTGACTTCTTACATTTGTGACTATCATAAATGCAATGTCTAAATACAACTGAAGTTACATAAAATATAACGTGATGAGATTTTGCCCTCAGCCAAAACTATTTACTCTGGTACTAATAATAGATTGAGACCAAAGACTGTCCGCGATCTTTACTCAAAACAAATTACATCTCATGTTTAACCACTATAGAGTGGTCAAAGCCAGCCACAAATTCCAGAAGATCTGGCCGAGGTGAGGCACTCTCGGTGGGTTTATGAGCGCGCACAACTCCGAAAACGTTGAAAGAGGTCCTATTATGCTTTTTCACTTTTTGAACTTTAGTCTGTGTAGTGTGTATGTTTGGGCATAAAAAAGATCTACAAAGTTACAAATCTCAAAGTCCACTCCAAAGGGAGATATTTCATTTTTTTTAAATCCCTTTTCAAGAACTACAACGAACGGCTCGTTTGGACTACAGCGTTGTTTTCCGGGTTTTGTGATGTCACAAAGCGGCCCATTAAAATATCATTAAAATAATCCCCGCCTACAGAAATTCAAATGGTTGGAGGGTGGGGAGGGGCGAGGTCGTGGTTAGAACGCTTGGTTGAGTGCATCAGACAAGACGAAGACGAAGAAGAAGAAGTGCTGCTGTACCGTCAAGTTTTCGCCATGTCAAAGAAACGCTGTTTTTTTTCACCCCCGTGCCTTTTGAATTTCCTTGTAGCAGATGTTTTCTACCTCACTGGACATTTTAATGCAGTTAGTACACATGCACCTGAATAATTATGTATGTAAATATGTATGTTCAGGGCTCCAGACTGCGACCAAATGGTCACATTTTGCGACCATTTTTTCTGCCTGTGCGACTAAATTTTGTGAGCGGTTGCACTGGCACGACCACCGCATTGTTCAACTCATAAGCTCTGCCATTTCTGTTGCATATGAGAAACATCAAACGGCAAACGAAACTGAAAGCATAACGAAACTGCGCTACTCATTTGAACTGTGCAGTGCTTAGAGTGTAGAGCCTGGTTTAGTGCGAAGGTGTGTGCAGCAAAATTGATGCGAATATTGAAAAAATGATGGATGGTTTTCAAGCTAAAGTAAAAGACCGCTTCTTAAACCAGAGAAGGTGAACATGTTGGTATTCTTGTGGAAAAAAAAAAAAAAAACATGCAAGCCCTGTCCTTGTGGGGGGAAAAAACATGCAAGCACTGTCACCGACAGCAAGTTTAGTTTTACTTTTTTTTTTTTTTTCATTTTGAAAAGCTTGTTATCTTTGCTGTTTACCTCACGTTATGCTATGGAAGCTCTCTTTTGTTTTATTTTTTTTTATTTGATTCCTCAGTGTTTGCTAAACATTCTATAGTTT